CGAGAAGTGTCTCTATCAAGGAACATTTAGAATTCCGAGGGAAAAACAACGAGGAAATCTTGCTCAGAATAAAGAAAACAGAATCCATTTCAACAGTCAAAATACGGAAGCAGTGCTCAACTGCAGATAATTCTTAAAAGAAAAGTAGCAGGAAAACGTAGATCAGGTAGGAAAAGAACATCGTAGCCAGATCTTGGTTCTAGCAACACCAACAACGCTTTTCTGGCAAGCACACAGCACCACTGGTTCAAAAATACTAAAAAACTTCGTAAACTAGAAATATGCACTAAATTTTATAAAAAAACTGTATTTACACGCCGAAGCCGCTGATAACGAACATAATATCCATTTGTCAAAAAAATGGAAGATCCGGTAAGGTGTACACGTCCACAAAACAATGTTTGGATTCAGCTAAAATTCAGTTTTGTACCTCTTTTAGGTCGATGATGATGAATTCGGTATCAATGTCTTGAAAATCAAAATGGCGGACTCAATATGGCGGACTTGTTTGTAAAAAATGTTTTGATTGCACTCAAATTCATACAGTTTATAGTTTAAAGGTCGCTAATAACGAATTTGGAATCGATTTTTTTGAAAGCAAAATGGTCAGAGTTGAAACCAAATTTGACATATTTCTTAACCGGGCGTCTGATAAACGTGCTACCATTCCAAATCGATCGGATCCGAATGGAAAATTTTTTCTAATCTCTTTCTGAATTCACTAACTCAAAGTTAACTCACATGTCGATAGGCAGGTAATATAAGGACATGTGATATTAGATGTTACGCCTTTGACTCCACAATCCATCTCTTTTTTCAAATCCCTGTTTGCTGGAGAATTCTTAATACTTTCCTTCTGATTATTTCATAGTGTATATGTAGACGACTGAAAAACAGTGTTATCAATTTTTTATCCCAAAAATGCATTTTTATGTATTTTATTGTATTAAGTGACATATAAATCCGAACACCCAGTTTAAATGGTTTTATTTTAATAAAAGTTGGTGAATGTATTTATCTTACTGTAAATAACAAGTGACAAAATTTTCAGCCTTATCAGTTGGACATTCCGGTTTGTATACTGCTTTCTTTTAATTCACTAACGCTCTAAAAATGAATATTTCAGCCGCAGTAAAGAATCAACGTTGGCGGATTTTGGTTCTTGACATCCTTTACGATCGGTTACGATGCCTAGAGTACGGAGACCTGTACGATTTCGTCAACTTAGTGAGTTTGATAGGGGCCGTATAGTGGGACTTCGGGAAGCTGGACTTTCTTTTCGGGCAATTGCAGTTAGAGTGCAAAGAACTGTAGACACTGTGGTTATGTGTTGTCAGGCATGGCTTCAAGAAGGCCGTACGCAAAGAGCAAGCGGCACTGGACGCCGCCGTAAAACAACAGACCGTGAAGATCGCCGCCTAAGGTTATTGGCCTTAAGGGACCGTTTCTCCACTACCAGGTCCATTGCAAATGAATGGTTTGCAGAACACGGAAGACCTATTGGCATGCGAAGTGTTTACCGACGAATGAGAAGTTTTGGCTTGTTTTCATACCGGCCACACTGGGTCCTCCCTTTAACTCGAGAACACCGACGTAATCGCCTTGTGTGGTGCAGACAACGGTCACTCTGGGAACAGGAATGGAACAGTATTGTCTTTAGTGACGAGTCTCGATTTTGTTTAGGCATGCACGATGGTCGTGCCAGGGTTAGAAGGCAACGTGGTGAAAGGAGGAATCCACAGTTTTTTGTTGAAAGACATGTTCATCACACTGTTGGAGTTATGGTTTGGGGTGCTATAGCTTATGGTTCCAGGTCACCTTTAATCTTCATCAGAGGTAACATGAACGCGCAGCGTTATATCCACGAAGTTACCCTATCTTGACACCCTGGCAGATCCAACTTTCCAACAAGATAATGCCCGACCACATGTTGCAAGAGTCACAATAGACTTCTTTCAACATAATGATGTCACACTGTTACCATGGCCACCAAGATCTCCCGACTTATCCCCAATTGAGCACGTGTGGGATATGATGGGTAGGAGATTGCTCAATTTGCAACGTCCTCCTCAGACTCTAGAAGCACTTCGAGAGGAGTTGGTGGTTGCCTGGAATGAGATACCACAGGAGGACATTGACCACCTGATCAGAAGCATGCCTAGGCGCGTTGGAGAATGCGTAGCACATCAGGGTGCATCCAGACATTATTAAAGGTCAAAGGGCTTTAAAGCAGTGCAATCATTTTGAAATTTTTATCATTTACATTATGCTTCATTAAGTACTTATACAAAATTTTATTAAAATAAAACCATTTGAACTGGGTGTTCGGATTTATATGTCACTTAGTATATATTGTATCTTCGACCGTAACTTGTTAGTAAATAATAGTACAGCTCTGAGATAGTACGCAAATATTCCACTTTTATAGTAGAATTTATCGGTTATTTACTTTTCCTAACATTTCTTTTCTGACAACTCGTTCTGCAGCAAATTGACTTTTCCAGAAAAGTAAATATTTTCTGAATAAGAAAATATAAGAGAAAGTAATCACCCGCTCAATAATTATACTAGAAGAGTGGAATATTCACTTGCAAATTTTAGAGCTGTACTTTCATTTGTTAACAACGATAGAAGAAAGAATGTATGAATAATGCAAAAAATGAATGATAAAAAAATGATAACGTTTTTAGTCAGTTCTATACACAATATGAATCAGACAGACGAAAAGAATTTAGAATACTCATTCAAACAGGCTGCCGAAAAAAAGGATATGCGACGTTAATACAGCTGGTTATTTTAAAACGTAGCACTATTGGAATATACATCTTTTTGGTACGAGATTTTCGCAATTTTGAAGTTTGATGCGACATACATTCTCTCCGATTCAACCCGATGATTATGTTTATTACTCCATAAATAATGCGGTTTTGGAAAGAACAAGAGAGACTATAGATCTTGGTGTAACATTTTCCTGTAGATTGGACTTTTCTGTCCATGCAGCACGCGTCACTTCCGAAGCGACACGGATTCTGGGTTTCATAATGCGTAACTTCGACCAAAGCTTGAGTATGTTTCTTTGATATGGAACCCTTTCTATGCGTATTATACAGGGTGTCCGCAAAGTTGGGGTTCTCCTTTAGACGACGTGTAGATCTTGAAAACATAAGCAATTTTTTTAGTACCATATACACCAATGTCTTAAGGGAACCGAGATAAAGGGGTCTGCAACATCAAAAATATCTGAATACCGTCCTGTAGCCGCGATATCACCGAGTGGTACAAGGTCACTGGCTCAACCCGACGACAGAACTGGGTCGGGGTCAGTGTGTCAGGTCAATATGCAACCTTCAACCGACGATTACGGCGACGCGTGTAGAGGTAATCGCGTAGACGAGAATCCCTCAACAAGCACTAGAGACGTGGCTAGAGAAGTGCAAGTATCAAAAACTAAAGTGTGGCAAACGCTGCGTGAAGAGGGGCTGTATCCGTTTCACGTCCAACGTGTACAAGCCCTTCAACCTGACGATTTTTCAGCAAGAGTGCGGTTTTGTGAGTGGTTGTTGCATCAACATGACAATAATCCGGACTTTTTGAAGTGCATATTGGTGACAGACGAATCTACGTTCACGCGTAATGGGGTGAATAACTATCGCAACACTCATGTTTGGTCAGTAGAAAATCCGCACGCTGTCCGTCGGGCACATTTTCAATAAACATTTTCGGTGAATGTTTGGGCTGGCATGGTGCACGGTATGCTCATTGGACCATTTATTCTCCCAAATCGATTGGACGGGATGCAATACCCAGACTTTTTACGCAACATTTTGCCTTCCTTGTTAGAAGATGTGCCATTAAGTGTAAGACAATCAATGTGGTTTCTGCGTCTGCTCGGTAGCGCATCAGCTGCTTTCATTTTCTGTTGGTGCGGTATGACTTCGGGCAGAGACGTACTTAGCCCTTCTCGTCAACTGGAGAGTGAGTACTTTTTCCCTTATTTTTTTTACTTGGTCGCCCTCGTTTCACTACACATTACCTTTGTTATTTCAAGGGTAGTTGCTTCTGAAAAGCAAAACCCCAACTTTGCGGACACCCTGTATAAACATCTTAGAAAACGGACAATGAAAATTTCTTAAATACTGTTTATAAAATCGATGACACTTATCCAGAAAGGGGGGTTTCTCAAATTGTTCTGCTGCGTCGTTTTGAACTAGAGGTTCTACAGTTAAGACGTTCTACTGCTGGCCTGTCATTCCTTCATAGTCTTTTGCACGACATTGTGGATGCACCAGAACTTTTCCAGAGGTTAAATTTCTGTATACCACGAGAAGAACTCTAACTTTCTACTGCAGTATCTCCGGTACCAATGTATTATTTTATTCTCCGCTACATTCTATATGCAACAATTATAATTCCATAGCAGACAGTTCTGACAATAATTTTGATTGTATCAGTAAGATCTTGTCAAATTTCAGGCATTATTATAATAGCTAATCCTGTTTTTTAAATTAGTTTTATGTATACATTATACGTATGTATTATAAGTAAAGATACCATTATATTGTCCTCTAATTGGAATAGTTCTGTTGGGCACTTATGTATAAAATAACAAAAATAAAATAAATTACTAATATTGTCACAAGGTGAATTATGCACTCCTATAACTGCAGACAAAATCTGGAGTCAAAGGCAAAACAATCGTTTGGCTTTTGATGGTCTGAGTGATCACCTACATCTAGAACGTGTAGTCATTTGAAGGAAAATATATGTGCCTGCCACTTTATATATTAGAAAACCCACTCTAACGAACACTCTGTATATGAATCGCAATGCATAAAAACTGGAAATCTCCGACCACACCTGACCGTATAGCAAACGTTTCACACGTATCCCAACCTCGACGCGCATTCCCGAGATGCCTGGACGAGCGTATAAAGTTAGCTTGTGGTGATAAACCCTGCAAAGTGGTGCATTGAAATCCGACAAGCCAATATCTTACTTACGTCGGTATGGAGGAGTAGTAGAGCAGCAACTTGGCTATTTCGTATTTATTCAGACCGGCTCGAGCGATGCATTCGGCGTAGCACAAGATTATCGGTCTGCCGTCTGTGTCTGTCGTTCCTGAAACAAAAATGCAAAAATGTTAAAAAGTTGAACACACAGATGTCATAAAGCATGTGCCTCTTTTACTTCCTACACGGGAAGAATTTCAAAATTAAAATATTACGTTTTTTGGATGTTACATGACATGTACATCACGAAAAACCAAGTCACTAATTTTCGTCGGTCTGCCTATCTGTCCGCTAATCCTTGACACCTTTGGAAAGTACCGTTCTTATTTCGGAGACATTTTCACGCAAGGTTACTGCTATGCTACGGATGAAAAAGATTTGCAGTTTTTGAAAATATTTCCAGTGGCGGAGGAGTGAGAGGCAAAAAACGAAAAAGCCTCTCATACTTCGTTTTCAGACGCTTCATCACTTTCGGAAATTTTTTTGTGTGGGATGAACCTAGGTGGTTGGGGGTTGTGGGGATTAGACCAACGTTACATCTTTAGTATTAGTCAAAGACGTTGTATCATTGAGAAGCTTATGAACCCGTAACAATGGGAAAATTAAATTATAAAAGTACGATGTATAATCGTTGGCGTTGTGTGCACGGTCCAATGCTGCGACGCTGCATCGTCGTAGAGGCCCCTTCCTACTGTGAAATGGGTAACAAACACCAACGGATAAACCTGCGGCAGTGTCGACACTGACACACCGAAACGGGCACGTAACACTTTGGCGTTCTGCGATGCTTTTGTGAATAATGCTCCTTAAGCGTTCCAACCATTTCCCATAATCTTCAATTTGCATTGGGTGGGGGGGGGGTATTCTTTGAATATTCCGTCAACTGACAAACCGATATAAATAAGCAACACAATGTGATGCAGATATCTTTAAGCTACAGAAAACTTGTGGACAGAAGTTCGAATATTATCGCGAGCTTAATAGTGGCATCGCTTAGGAAGTCGTAGATAAAAACAAGAAAAATCGCTAGAACAGAGTGTTATAATAATAATAATAATAATAATAATAATAATAATATTTATTCGCCAAAATACAAAAAATGGGCAAATAAATATGAAAAAAGCACAGAAGGCATCGCATGTGTGTGGTTTATATCTCAATAACTAACAATCAATCATATATGTGTATAACAATTATTGTTAAATCTAAAAGGTATTAATGTAATTGGAATTTTGTAGTTTTAGTTTTCTATATAATTATGTATAGTCATTCGCTGCACATTACTAACCCAGTCTTTCAATTTTCTTCTAAATTTTTTTCCAAAATTAAGTATCTTTATTTCGTTTGGTACTACATTATATAATTTAGCTGCTAAGAATTTAAATGATTTTTTGAATAACGTTTTGTATGGTCTTTGGATATTAGATGAGCCTATTCGAAATCGTGTGTTATGCTCGTGTTTCTAGGATTTTTTCTTTTTATTACAATACTTATGGTATAAGGTGGTGGCATGTAAGAAATAAAGTTGTCTTGTATCAAGTATCCCTGTTTCTTGATATAAGTTGTTGGTTGGATATAATCTTGGCTTATGGAAAATGGCTTTCAAAACAGTTTTTTGTGCTATATTCAAGTCAGAAATATATGTCTTGCGGGCGGCACCCCTGGCTGTGATGCCCTATATTATATGGGTTTCAACTAAGGCATGGTATAGGATTCGCAGATAACTTTCTGTAAGAATGTTAGCAAGCATTTTAAGTTTATAGGCAACATTTCTAATTTTTTTGATAACATATTTAATATGGTTATCCCACCTTAGATGTGAGTCTATAAATATTCCAAGATATTTATTTCAAAGTGTTAACTCTATCGATTTTGGTCTTTTGGCCATGATAATTAACGGAAATTTGTTCGAAGGTAGGTAAAATTTTTGAATCCGATGTAAATGCAATAAATTTTGTTTTTTTGAAGTTAACTGTTAAAATTTTAGTATCAAACCAGTCAATGATCTTTATAAAATCCTGTTCAGCTATTTGCTTCAGTGTGCTCCAGTCATCAGCTTTATATAATACGAGGGTGTCATCTGCAAAACATATAATCTTTCCACAACTGTTAAGTTTGAATAAGTCATTTACGTAGAGACTAAATAATAGTGGTCGTAGTACTGTTCCTTGAAGCACACCACACTTGATGTACATTTTTTGCTGTAAGTATTAGTGATTTTGACAGTCTGTGCCCGACTTGAAAGGTAATTTTTTAAAAGGATTTGTGACGCTCCCCTAAATCCCAATCTTTCCATAACTTTCAGAAGCTCGACATGGTTAACCGTATCAAAGGTATTTTTTAGATCAACAAAGATACCAATAGTAGGTATCTTTTTGTTGACATTAGAGTTAATTTCATCCATTGCAGCAAAAATTGCATCTGTAGTAGATTTTCCTTTTCTAAATCCATATTGGTCAGAACATATAATTTTGTTTTTGTCCAAAAATTGTAATATCCTTTTTTGTAGTAATTTTTGGAAAATTTTGGCTATATTCGATAAGTACTGATATGGGTCTATAATTTGATGTTTCCATTCTGTCACCGCTTTTAACGTTTAACGTTCAGAGATCCTCAGACATTGTTTTGGAGGGGTTGAAAATTGTAGTTTGGAAGCTGAATGCGTTAAATTGTTGTAATTTTTTTACTATTTGGTGCCAGTGAAACACCTTCTATTACTTAGAAGCTGCTGATCTCAGTGGTAGCATGCACATGTAAGACATAATAAGTCACACATGTTTTCCCTACATCTGCCAGTTGAACAGAAATATGATGGATTTACTTTATACAGGTTTGGTTTGTAAAGGTCGAAGATTCATCCTACCTAAGTGAACCGACTTAATTACGATTCGATTTCGCCTTTTGAAACGATATGACCCATTTTACAGAGTCAATCTACTTGACGCCATATTTTAAATTTCTTGAGGCGATTTTTCCAACTTTCCAAGGTTTTTAAAATTACTGCCTGCCATAACATGGGTCAGACCGAATGTCAATTTTTTCACCGATGTTTGGCTTTCACCTCAACCTCCGGTCAAAGCCGAATCCAAATGTTTAGTAAATCAAAGCTGCGAGTTATGTTACGACAATAAAGTTGTTGCATAAAGAACATTCGTGTCATTGGATATGTTTCTTATAACTTGTAACCTCAGTTTTAATGCAATATTGAATCAGATTGAATAAAAATAGGAAGAGGCATTAATAAAGTTGGAGCAACGTTTTACATTAACATGTGCGTACCAGTATATCAGAAAGCGCGACAATGAGTTCACAAGTTTAAGCATTTTCGGAGCAACACCGAGAAGTTCTGAAATCATTATCTTTTTCTGACGCAAATTCAGTTCTGGTCATAAAAACAATGCAATCCTGATAGGCGACGTTAAGTTTGCAACAAAAAACAGCTGCATTTGGGATCTAAGTTCAAAGAATAGCTACACGTTTTCAAAATTGTACCTTGCAATAATATCAATTCTGGAAGCAGACTAACAAGTTTGATTTACTTTACTATTTCACAATAAAGTAAGCAGAACAGATGCAGTCGATTTAGACCATAATTTACGAAGCAAATTTAAAGACTTAACCAAAAAGCATCCAAAACCAATGAAACCCATGTCCGCATAGTAAATTGGATTGTCTATCTTCTTATGTTTGTGCTGCAGGACTGAATACTGAAGATTGCATCATGAGCTCAAAGCACCTTTTGAAGAGTGTTTCAATTGTTCCTAAATTTGCGAACCAAGATTAACTACTAACTTACTTTGTAGCTCTAGAGTTTGCAAACTTTGCATTTTTTGTGATCGAGTCTTTGGAGAGCTTTAGCTTTGCGTGCCAGACTGTAAGCGATAACACATTTTTGGTTTAAAGTTAAAAAAATGCAACTATGAGTTAGAAAGATACTGGATACAAATATGGGTAGTAAAATAAGCAAGTTATTATCTTAGGGATACGAGCCACATATCTAGATTCTGGCACCTCAGGATGCACTGAGGTAAAATGAATGGAGCAATATTAAATTCTCAGTCAAGATGAGACAACAAAGGAATGGATGGAAAATGTAGATCAGAGTTCATGGTTTGATAGGCTGTGAAGGCACTGTTAATTATTCGGGAATTCTTAATTTAACTAGGAAGTTAATTTCATGGTATGTTCCTGTCGTTCTATTTGTAAGCATTTCAAGCAGTAGTAATGAGTATTTTTTAAAACAAGTGTCATTCAGCGATTTTATATTTAAACAATCATTCCGGAAAGAATCATATTTATATTTCCTGTTGCTGGTTGTTAGGTATTACCATGTCAAAGAGATTTAGCTGTACAAAAAGAGGAAAGTTTCGTCAGGCGGCGAACTTCAATAATATGGTAATGGTATATGCACTCAACAACGAATACTGTTAGCTATGTACGTGTTTTTAATACACATTATAAACAAAGACAGGTTGCATAAGAAATATTCTAGATAACCAAGAACCAAAAACGTCGTCTTTAGGTCTACAAAATCTACGGATCCAATCTTTGACTTTCTAGACAAGTTTTCAATTTGAGGAAAATTGTTTAACAGCTCATAGAAGAAATTAAATTTATAAAATAATCAGATGCGATTAATCTTTCGAGAATGTTGCTTTTTGCAAAAACTATTTGTAACACAGTAATTCTTGTCAGACTTATACATTGCTTCGCAAATTTTCAAGACTTAGAATTGAACCTCGTCATCTTCGTCATTAAGGTGGATCTGGCAGGATATTTTGGTTAGGAGAAATTTGATGCGAAGCTAAAGCCAACTGTCTAACCCATTTAAAGGGCTAACGAATAAGGCATATCTACATAAAGTTATAAGATCATACTTTGCGCGAATGGAAACAGTAATTATTAATGAATCCCGTTGACACCTACTAATTTGATATTTTAAGGCCCTATTCGCGAAATAACACGGTGTAGCTTAGTATCAAAAGATAATTGTCAGTCAGTCAGAGGGTGGTAGTAGAATACTCTACAAGCTACTGCATGAGACCATTCTGTTATTAACCCATATATTAATAGTGTACTAGACTAGACGACAAATCCAAGTATATTCCGTCAAAACCAGAGACGCTTTCAAGAAAAGATCGTGAAACAACTGCAGGTGATACCAAAACCCA